CCACAAGATTTAGGTCAATTTGAGGATCTAAGCATATGTATGCAACCAATCTCGCACTGCAACATTCCACAAGATCATCGATAAGGGACGGAAACATTTATAGCATCACCGACAACCTGAACTACTTGCGTGCTCGAGCTGAACACCGCATAACCAGGTGGACCGTGGCCAGACCGCCGGTCGTTTATTCCCCAACCAAAGCACTTAGGCATTTATTTGTCTTTACAGGACTGGATGCTGTTTGTACAAGGGAAAGTCATATACTATTTAGGCCATTGTTTTCCCGCTTCGTCACAAACTAAGGCAGTCCCTGCTTCACCCAGTTCCCGCACCGACCAGAGTTAGCGTTGTCCCAAGTCTCTTTGACAGGCAACGGTTAAGCCTACGACGTCTCGTTTTGCCAACGGTCCGTTCTGTTAGGTTGAGGGACTAATAATTATAGGTACCGAATTAAGCCAGATACGCTGCGCTAGCCGCTACTTTTCCACAACCAGAACCAGTTTGGATTCTCTTTGGTACCCCTGATAAGGTATGTTAGCCATTACCGCCGTGCAGCTCCCCGCCCCCTGCCCTCACATGGCCGCCGTCTGTCTTGTTGTGCTTCCCAATCTTGCTCGTTTTAGGCCCTAGCACATAATTACATCAACACTGATCAAGTGCTTCGTCTTGCTCGAACCAGGCTCGCTATTGCGGATTTGGTAGCGCGTTACAGCAAGCTCGGGTCGCGAAGAAGGGATATTGTGTCTCCGCTCATCTTATTGTGATTGCTGCCCAGTGAGCATCAGAAGCCGCTCTCCCGGGCCTAAGTTCTAAGCCAGGCCAAGTCAGGAGTGTGATTTCACTCAGGTTCACGCCCTGTAATTAAGGGCCCCGGCATGACTAAAGTCCCAGAGATTGTCGGCTGCCAGGGCTGGGGCAGTATATCTTGCAGGGCCGCGCTACCTTGATCTCTTGTTGCTGTTCTTCTTAATCACCTTATCCCAGCTGAGCCCTGGCCGTTTCTGACAGTTGCCAGACCACTCCGCGAACACACGCTCATAGCTAAAAGGTGTCTTACCTATAGAGCTCATCCTTGTCGATGTCACCATCCAGAAAAGGTACGTGTGCGTGCTCAACCTGCATAGAACACCTCGAGACGATCGCGAAGAAATACCTGTACTGACACAAGACCATGCGCTGTAGTGATCAAACTACATCTCCATATCAATTCGAAGAAGCTCATCGCGACAAACAAACCGATCCTCCGGCACCGCACTATAGTCGCGGCTCCTGAGCAATTCTCGAAAGTTTGACAGGGATCCGCGCTCCTGGAACCAGCACGTGGAAAACGTTACCATCAACTTCTTGTGTGCCACATTCAAGAAATATACAGCCGCTGCTTGTCGTCTGTTGCTGCACCGCTTCAAACGCGATTACCAGGTGCGTCGATTTTTTCCGTCCGCTTGCTCCTCGCTGCAGCTGCAAAAGATACAAAGCTGTAATTGTCCTACGGTGTCGTTTTTCTCCCACGAAATTAGGGCCCGCAGAGGCTTACTAGTATATTTTACTAGTGGCTTCCTGCACGGGTTAAGGAGACGACCGTCCGATCATCATTGCCGCATCCAATTCTTTTACCGGCGTCAATAAATTGAGAGAGGAACGAGTTGATATTTATCCTATTTTACCAAACTGACATGCCGCGCCTTCTAGATTAGCGACTCTGTTTCAGACTCAAAGCGCCACTCCGTCTCACTCGTCAATCACGACTGAGTCAACGACACTTGGTGTCGCACAACAATTGAAGGAAGCTCTGGTAAGTTTGTTCTCCGAAAGCATATCCCTTCCATTCCATTCACATCCAGAGGAGAGGACCTTGGTTGGCGGAGCTCCATTTGACGCACAATGTACTGCTTATACGGGACTGGTAATCACGCCACTTTGGCTATGGTCTGCAACGAACATCCCAGCAGAGCATGCGCTTATGTTGACCTAGTTTCGCTGCCTCAAACTGCGCTTCCGCTTTACCCACCAGGTTGCTAACGACGAGCATTTGACAGCTACCGCGGACCATTTTTATTATTCCCCATGACTGTCAACATGTCGAGTCGCCAAATGCCGGGCAACTTCAAGCAGGAGCATGGAATACATCCTGTAAGTATCACTTCTTATTGTTCTGTTTGGCTTGTCGATTTGTATTTTGTGCAAACGCCTGGAATCTATTGCCTCAACAAAACTATGGCTCGGCAAATTCAGTGACGACCATCAAATGACATCGACATCGTTCGCGTCGCGGCTACCGACGCGTCTGGGAGACCCAGCATCAAGTGAATGCTGGAGTATGCTTGTCTGTCGCTGCAAGTTCCCGGGAATACCAAGATTTCGAGATGCGTCCCGCGAAATATGCCTGTCGCAAGCTTGACCAGGTCAGGAGCTTGAAGGTGGACTGAGCAGGGTATCTCTTGTTTCACCATGACCGGGGCCGCCGCAGGGATCAGGGGAGGGGGTGAACAGCTCCAGCCTTCTTGACCAGATGCTCATTTCAAACCCCAAAAATGGGAGACAGACCAGGCTGAGGCGGAACATTGCGACATACCCTTTTCAACAACCACGTTGAGGGAAACGGCCAGTGGCCTCGCATGCACTAGCCACACCGTTCTGTCCAAGCCATCAAGCCATATTTTGGGCGTAACGGGATTGCGCAGATACTTTACAACTGCCCTCCACCAGCAATCACGAAACCCAAAATTTGGGTTTTGGAGGTGCCACAGAAGCGCCACCAAGGCCAAAGTTTGGCTGTTATCCACTTAACGGTCGCGAGGCTGGCGATACATGAGTGCAAGTGTCAGTCAACCTGTCGACCAAGATGCCCACCACACCAAACAATCCAAATCTCGTCAATGACGCGCCGCGGCTGCGCGGAGCAGCACCCGGTGGATGATGCCTGGGAAAGACGCCGAGAAGGACGCTTAACTCAGCTGAGAAACGTCTTAATTTTCTTTTTGAGATGACAATACGCGACCCAGAGGACCAAAACAGCAAACGCTTGGCGACCCTGACCGCACTATTCTAAGTGGGTATAGACTGTATCGACGGTGCTCTCCCAGTGGGGCGCTGGGCTGCAGATACTGGTCTGCCCATCCTGATTCAGGGCGTGGCAGAACGGTCATCAAATGTCAAAAGTTGAGATGGAACAACAGGACGCGACGTGAAGAATTGAACGCACAAGCTCGTCTACATACATCCTTTTCACTGCGTTTATCAGTGTAACCACTAGGACACCAGTACCAGTGGTGACGTACTGCATTGATATCGAGCAAGCGGCCTCTTGCAGGAGCAGGCTGCAATATCCACAGTCGCAAGCCTCGAGGGCACAGTTCATCTAGAAGGAAACAAGTACCTATACGCGAGATTTCGCGCATCAAACGTGCGGTACTCTGCAGGTACCTGGACCCGAACGGAACTCTGTACACCATTGCTCCCGCAGTCAGTGACCGTTGCGCGTCAGTCGAGTTAAAGCTCAAGTCTCTAGCCGGGCCATTTTGGGGGCGGGCCAGCACGAATGACAAGGGGATTGGAGATGGGACCATCAAAGTCGACGGTTGAAAAGACGTTACCCACACCGCCTGTGGCCAAAATAGGATCACCAGGGAAAAGCCAATCCCGGTGTATTCCTGGCCCGTTGGCTAGCCCCGGTTCTCGTGTTCCCTATTGGGCAGCTACTCCTTTCTGGGCGCCATGGTGAGGCGACCATTGGCCACTTAATCAAACCCAGCCGACCCCTGTCACGTTTCTTCCATGCGTTGTCCTCCCCGGAGACATCTGCTTGGCTGCCGACACACGCTACGCAACAGTACCTCGACTTGCAGGTACAGAGAAACAAGTACCTATCAGCAGTGCATCCTCATCATCTTACCCGTATCCTCCAGCCCGTGGTCACCCCTCTGTCCCCTTTTCTGAGAATTGGATGGGTCGAGGTCTGAATGGGTGCATAGCTGGAGTGTTCTTTTCCGGTTCTTGAAGTCGGTTTTGAGCTTTCGCATACACACCACACTGGTTGCACCACTTGCACCACTTGCACTCATTCCCACTCCTCATTGTGTGTCGCTACTGTGGGCTTTGTGCTGCAAGTTGCAGGCTGATATCTATTACTGCTTAAGCTGGTGAACCCTTCTCAAAGAACGTTGACTAGTTGTCCACCGCTCCGCTCTCTTGATCCCAAAGTAATTTATGCTCCTGGGGAATCCTGCGACAGGGGTGTCGTCGCGGACTGGCACACTTGCAGCACATCATCCCTGTCCATTTCCAGGCAAACCCCCCCCTCTTGACAGCATTTTACTCTACTTGAACCCTGACCTGGGTGGCGCCCGCTCAACTGCCAGACAAGCCTCGTACTCCTGGTTCCTATCCGCTGGCTCAACAGTTGCATCTTAATTGAGCACTTGCCTGGTCTACCATCCCGTTAGCCAGCTCATTACCTATGGTCCAGTCGCTTATCCACTTGAGATCATACCTTGTTCTCATCCCCATACTGCAATCTTGGTTCAAATACCCGCTCCCCTGCCCCTTCGTCCCCCCCCGTCGCCCACCCTCTAGCACACCCTTCGTTCGATCGATCTTGTCTTCTGGCGCTCCAAAGGCCTGCTCTCTTTTCCTCGTCCCTGGCACACGAGCTTTAACCTTTGAGACGGAGACAGTTTGAAGGTACCAATTGCCAATCTCTCTCCAACCACATCCAGCCAAGCGGTATAGCCACCCCCAGTCCCCTCCATCCTGTGTTTTTCGCTGTAGCCCTCGAGAACCGGGTTGCTTTATCATTATTACCACTCCGAGCCTAGCCCGCCTCACCCGTGCAATCCCAGTCCTCACCAGGGGACATCCACTTAAACCAGCTCCCCAGACCTGGGTACTGGCAAGGGGAAAATAAAACACCAACGCGTCCTTGACTTTACACTATTTTCTTTCTTTGACCCGTGCCTTATAGCTTCATTTTTTTTTAAACACGTCACGTCCATGCCTGACTAATGGGTCTTCTCTCTATGCAGCATCATCCACAGCACCAGCAACAGGGTCATCCGCCTTCCCAACACTTGCAACACTCGCGACCCCCGAGTGTAGTTCACCAGCAGCATCACACTCAACCTCACCAACCGCCACAACAGCAGCATCCAAGCGCGTATTCATCCACGCATTCCCTTCCCCCAGGTTATCAAACCAGTGCTCAGGCGCCTAGCAATCAGGACAACCTCAACTACTACAACCATCCAAGCCCTTACAGCACACCTGGTGCCACAAGCGGATACACATCCGCAGGTAAGTTCTTGCTGCCTCGAAAGCACTTCATTTTCGAACTTCGCGTTCCAAGACAGTCACTTACATTACGCAACATAGATACCTCCGATATGATGGCCGCAGCTCAAATGCCGAGACCTCCCTATCCTCCAATGTCCTACCATACGCCTCAATCCAACTCCCCTGCTTCAGTCGCATCGCCCTCGCAACATGATCAACACAGAAACATCTATGGCCAACCCCCATCGCAGCATCTTCAACAATCTATGTACTACCAGCCGCAGAATCAATATCAGACCATGCCTCCTCAAGCTGCCGCCTCACCTTATGCGCAACATGCGCCTCACCCCCAACAGTCCATGACATCGCAGCCCACTATGATGATGTCTCAAACCGCACCCCAGAACCAAATGACGCAGCATGCTGCACAACATGCGCACGCAGGAATGACCGGTAGTCCTCGGCCCAAAATCGAGCCTCAGGTGCCTCTGCAGCTCCAGAAGCCTCAGTCATCTCCGATGCAGCAGGCTCACCACCCTCAAAACGGTGGACAACTGCAGAGCCCAGGGAACACCACGCCTGGTGTCAATCCAAGTGCAGCACCAGGACCCATCCCTGCCACAACCCCTCTCGTTGTCCGACAAGATGGTAACGGTGTACAGTGGATAGCCTTTGAGTACTCTAGGGACAGGGTCAAGATGGAGTACACCATCCGCTGTGATGTTGAGTCGGTCAACATTGACGAACTATCGCCAGAATTCAAGCAGGAGAACTGTGTCTATCCCCGAGCATGTTGCCCCAAGGACCAATACCGCGGTAACCGCCTGATGTACGAGACTGACTGCAACCGCGTTGGCTGGGCTTTGGCCGAGCTCAACATTCCCCTCAGAGGCAAGCGAGGACTTATCCAGCGAGCGGTCGACAGCTGGCGCAATAGCAACCAAGATCCCCGACTTCGCAGTAGACGAGTTCGACGCATGGCAAAGATGAATCAGCGCAAACAGGTTCAAGCTTCTCCGCATCCCGGTGCGGCTCACATGCCCGGCCCCAGCGGGCCTTCAGGGATGCCTGGAGGTCCAGGGCCCATGGGACCTGGTCCCGCCGCAATGGGCAAACCTGGTCTCGGCAGCATGGGTCAACCAATGCACCACCACCAGCCAGGAGCTCACCCTGACGGTACAGGACAAAGTGGAGGAGATGAAGTTGGTATGTTCCACCAGATGTGATTGATTTAAACGACACTTGTGTCTGCGTTTACACATGGCTTTTTAGCCTTCGCGCTCCCGCCTGCCTTGCCCCTTCACTACCCCTCAACTCATCGCACCGCACCGCATCATCAAAAGCTCTGCTTGACCAACGTTGTGTTGATTAATTGATACCAAACGCACATTGTTTTTTTTCCTTATTGTCTTACAAAACCTGTTCCTCCGCCGTGGCGGCTGTGTCTACGTCTTTATTATCTGAATTGTTTCGGTTCGCGGTTCGAAAGCTTGGGAAATGGGTTTGTCATCTCCTTTCTTTGTCTTTTCACTGCCTGTCAAAGACGACATGGGCGGATGTTACTTATATCTATACAGCATGCCGCAGTGGCTCGAGGGATTTTGAGGAACTCTTTATTTGTTTATTGGCACAGTTCTGTACATTACCATAAAGTCGCGCCTGCACAGTTGCTGCTGCTACTGTTAGTTGTTTGATTTGCTGCTGGGTTTTCGCGACTCTTAGATGAGTTCAATCTGCCAATTGGCTTTAAAAGTTACCGTTTGTCTTGGGTTGCCTAACCTAGATCAACCTTGCAAGCCTTATCCCTTCGTTCTGCTTTAGTCCCTGAAGCTAGATACTCTGAGTTTGGTCATGTTTTGCATTTGCTGTCGCTACTGCTCATCCTATCAACGCCATGTCATCATAAGCATTCACGAGCTGTATTTGTATTTGGAGACAAGCTAACAAGAGATGTTCATAGGCGATGGCAATTCTTACGAACACCATCACCACCAAGCCCCTACCGGTCAGAACCCATCAAGTAATGACGATGTGAGACCAGCCCATGTCTTTACTGGGTACAATAATCAGCCTTATCCCACTAGTGCGCCAATGTCTCATATGGCTCCTCACTCTGGGGGCGCTGTCCCAGCCAAGCGCCACAGCAAAGCCAACGCTGATGAGCCTGACGATCTATTCCCTGATATCCCTGAAGCTAAGAAGCGAAAGTTTATCCTTGTCGAGGACAACGTTCGCGGATCTCGTCTCCGGGTCAGGGTCACCCTCGAGGGCGTCGATACTAATGAGATTCCCGACAGCTTCCGCAAGGGTGCCAGTGTCTTCCCTCGCAGCTACTTCCCCCGGGAAATGCAAAGTCCTCCTCCCAGTGCCACCGGCTCACGTTTCTTTGGTGAAGATCATGATGACGATGGCATCGAAGAGACTGAAGGTCGCGAATCTAGCCGCCGCGGTATTAATAGGACTGGCAAGGAGATGGTCAAGGTTCCCATGGGCGAATCCTCAGGCGAGATTGCCATTCCTCGAATGAGGAAGTCGGCCCGGGGCAGGGAAGTCCGTCTCAATGATCTTGGCTACCGCATGGCCTGGCTGCAGAGCCGAGTCTTTGCGGGCCGGACCGTGTTCTTGCAGCGAGCATGTAAGTTGTCACAAGCACTCTTTGGTAATTGGTCATTAACAACTAGTAGTGGACTGCTACCGTAACAAGACTCGTGCTGCTATCGAGAGTGTCATGCAAGACGTCAAAACTGTTGCCCCTCATTACGAAACTCGTGCTGGCAAGAGGCGATGGAATGAACGCATGCGACGTGGTGCGAAGGAAGACGACGAGTAAACCCGATTCCTGGACTATTTGGCCTCGTTTTTATCAACTCCCAAACTAAACCAAATCACTGTCCTTTTTGTTTTAAACATCCCCAGCTGCATTACTGATATTAGAGATTGGTTCTCTCATTGTTCGTTCGTCTCATATTCAACGATACCATTCTGCGATGGCATCCAATGAGGTGTCTTCTCTATTATTTACAACACTGTTTTCTTCTCTTGAGTTGCCGCTGTTGCTATGCCACTTTCTCTCGCATCAATGTTGTTTTATCAAAGTTACTGTTAGCTTTTCTCGCAAGCTTTGTTTTGGTGAAAGTGTTGGAGCTTAAATGTCATCTAGTAGCTCCTGTATATTAATGCTACAAAGAAGATACAAAGATTTCACAGGAATGTGAGCTACAGATATAACTAGCTGCCGTTGTGAGTGTTAGGAACACAACATATGTTTGATTGATCACAGCAGCAGTTCGGTCGGCCGGCGAATGGATTAATTGTATATGGAAATGGAAGAAAAAATAAGGAATGGTTTAGTGCTTCAGTATCGGACAAAGCCACCTTTATCACAATACTGTGTATTTATCGTTACGAAGAAAAACTTGTATTGTCTTGACCTATTCAGCTTTGATACTTTTACCATGTTATAATACATCGTCTTGCAACGCTGTACCAAGAACGACGGTCAGCTGTTTGAGGAGAACAGCAGAAAAGAGGAAAACCCAACACTCATGCTGTCTCAGGGGAAGATACATCTCAAGTATGCAATGTATTGTACCATAACAATTTTAACTCTTTATTCTCACATATTAGCACTCTAGCGCAGAGGAAGCACATTTCGCATATCTACTCGAGTTTAATAACCGCCTTGATTCTTGGTACTCTCCTAAGGAACCTGACCCAAGTAGAAGTGACCGTATTCGTCAAGCCTGTCAGACTTGAGGTTTTCTAGAGAGTACATGGCTAGAAGCGCCCCTGTTGCTAGTATTCGGATTCTTAGGTCTTAATTCTTTGTCACTTTCCAGATTCACTTTTCAGATAGGTTCAAAACTCTACGATGATATGCAAGCAGCTCGGGATAGTTGGCCATCTTGAGTCGCATGGCATAATATGCCAATGGTATGTCATTGAACTTATGTATCCAAAGCGAACTGGACACAAGTGCCACCATCTATATAAGATCTATATAGGCGTTGATAGGCGAAGAGAATTTAAGCTATGGGCAATGATGCAGGGAACACATTCCTCTTTCCATGTTGTGGTATGTTTGAATGCTTGATTCTATACACACAAGCAGTTCAATCACTGATGCAAAGTGTCGAAAGCCTGAGATCTCAGCGACGCATTTTGAAGCCTCCATGGCCAACTACATCATTGCAGAAATTGTCGTCACAGTAGGGTGTTTCACCGTAGCAGTCCCCATCACCACGGCACCCGATACAGTTGCCTGCAGAAGAACAGAAAGGAGCGGAGCCTCCATGAAGGGCATTACACTCTGCGTTGGTGGTGCATTCGACAGAAGAAGCCGCCGAAGTAGTGGCAGAGGTAGCGGCTGATGAAGTTGGTTCTTCAGTTGTCGTAGTGAGCAATGTCGTGGAAGTACCGAGGGTAGAGAGTGAGTTGGCAGTCTCGGTCGAGCCAAGACTAGTGAGAGATTCGATGAACAAGTCACTGACTGTAGCAGACGAGGTTTCAGCCGTCGTAGCTTCAACAGTAGTCGTTGTGTCGACGGTAGAAGAAGAAGGTTTGCAAGGCCCAGCGCTGACAGCGTTGGCGGCGAGCAACGCCAGCACGCCAGTGAGGAATTGAGTTGAAACCATGTTCAATAAACGAGCGACAATGGTGGAATGCGAAACGAGTGACGGAAGCAGCCTGAAGAACAGTATACTACTTCTGTGTCTGTATATCAGTGGGCAACAAGGCAATTTTATTCCATAGAGTCCCCCTATAATGATGAACACCCGATCTCATGCTTAATTTTCAGGCCAGGTTAAGTGACGCTATTTAGCACTATTGCTTATTATTGTCTTGGTATTGGAGCTAAACTTGTTAAACTATAGGCTGGCTGACAGCTGGCAGACACTGACTACCAGCCTTATGGAAAGTTATAATTATAATTGCTACAAACATGAGTAAATGGCGTCCAACAAAGAGGGTCAAGCTACTCACAGACATGTCTTGAGAACGAGGAGCCAGTCCGCGGACATCAATAAACCAGACCAGGAGATTCCTGTTTCCTCAGAGACTTACAGCCGGTTTGATATCTCATTTATACTTAGTAGTTAGAAGATGAGAAGATCCTGTTTGTGTTCATCCGGGCGAGGACGCCATGGCAGCGTCCAGATCGGAATTTCTCACTACGTGAAGAAGAGCTAAATAGGGAGTTTTATATGAGATGTTGGCAAGATTGTTGAGGGCTTTTGTCAACATAGGCGGTGAAAGTTCATATCGTGACTACCTACAGTCTTGAGCCATAGTCATTCGCGAAATTATTCAACTCTTCTGGCGGAATAAGAGGGATCTTGAGTGAGAGACTATTCAAGACCAATATGATTAATAAAGACGGATAATGGGTTGTATCTGATATGCTGGACAAGGTAGGCGGCAGAATTGCTAATGGATCGCCACTTTGTGCAGTAAAAAACGGAATGACAAGTGAGAACGATAGAAAGCATGTCTTTACTCCGTACAGGGAGATTGGCTCGAAGTTGTAAGTCCTCTTTTTCTTTTTTCTTCCCTTCTGGATGTACATGGTCTGCATGTATTCTTGAGACAAGCCTAAGAAATGCTCATACAGTGATTGATCTGTGGACATGGCCATATTCTCAACCGAATTATCCTCATCTTTACAGGTGAAATTTAGGCTGACAAAAGTGTTTTGCAGATCATAGCTGAAGTACATATGTGTGTTGTGGCCGTTTAGATTATCGGTGATAGTGAACCTGCCAAGAACCGAACCTTCGAAAGAAGCTTTTCATCAGCCAAACCAAGGATTCGACACAACATCCCTGTCATGACCAGCATGTGTGTGGCTTAGCTTCAGCCCGAGACTGATTCCCAGCAAAGCCAAGTCACATAGTCTAGGTCTTTCAGCTAGGTGAAAAGCATGTCACTGGAATGCGGGTGGTATTTTTAGCATGTACTGCCTATGAGACTAGGGTCTCAAAGCTCCGAGAACAAGAGAAATGAAGACGACAGTACTATGTCCCTTTCAGGCAAGTGCACTAGTTAGTTAGCAAGACAGTCAGTCACATTGTCAAGGCAGCCCGCAGGGCGTTAGAGCCTCCCTTTCACCCAACTCTTCCACAGCCCAAAGTCAACATGAGGCCCTTTCTTCCAATCTCGAATACACGTCATCTCATCATATAATCGTCTTGGATAAGAACACTGTATATTGCTGCTGGAAATATGGTCCGGACCCCTTATTACGGCGGCAATCATCCGCCTCCCCTATTCGTCGCTGAACTCGACAGTGAGCCAGGACGTCCCGGTGATGCCCCATCTCATCATAGGCCAGATGGAACACCCGTGTTCGAGATGAGTAGCGAGCCAGTGCTTCCGCAGCATGGTCAAGATGGAAACCAATCTAGTACTTCTCATAACGGCCCGTCGTCTCTTCAGGCCCTGGGTGCCTCCAAACCAACACAACAAGGCCAAGAGGACCAGAACAAGCCAAGCAAAGACACCTCCACTGCACCCCAATCTGTCATGGCCAATCCCTGGGCATACTTCGGACCCGAATCTTCGGATGATAAGCCAAAAGAGACGCAACGACCTCAGACAGACAACCGCCGGCCATCAGAACCAGTGTACAGACCCTATCCTGGCGATAGCAATGACAGCCCTCCAGAGGTTCCTCATGGCACACGGCCATCCACCAATCCTTCAAGCCCAAACCTCAAAAATGAGGACTATGCCTTCTATCCTGCTCCGTTGAAGCTTGCCCATCGTCCTGTCGATGCAACTTCCCCTCCTGCCTTCAAGGCATATGCTCCTCCAGTGGCCCAGGATTCATTTGATTCAGAACCGAAGCCTTTAGGCCGACCTGATAGGACCGACTCGCAGTCGCCAACGGCTCTAAATGCGTATCGACCATATAGGCCACATTCTACTCAGCCTCCTGCTTCACCTGTACCAACATCCAATACTCATCCTGTCACTACGTCCCCTAATCAGAATGTCCCTCTCCCTCTTGCATCACCTCCAAGGCCCCCAGAACAGCAACCACCCGGGACAGTTTCCCACCAAATCACCTCGACAAAACCTCCGAGCCACACTCCAAATCTTCCAGCTTCGGATGCCACCCTACCAAAGCCAGCTGCCAGTCTTCCTGCCTCCCCGAAGCTTCAAACTCAACAATCAGAACCACAGCCGCAACTACAGTATGGTATTCCTAACGCTGCTCCGGTTCACCCGATGCCTCCATCTACGTCGACCTATCTTCCCTCCCCTGTGACCCCTTCAGTCCAGTTATCCTCAATCGTTTCTTCACCAGCAACTCCTGCGACGAATGCAGGAGTTCCCTTCACTCAGCCACAGTATGCTGCTCACGTTGCTGTCCAGACGTACGCTCAGACACCTTCATCGGTCGCATCACCAGGTCCATCTCATCAAACAGGAGTGTCATTTGCACAACCGCAATATGCTACTCCAGTTCAAGCACATAACTTTGGATCAAACCAATCCAACATTCCCGTCACTCAAGCCCCGGCATCTGTTATGCCAACTTCGGCCAGTAACTCATCACAATCCGCTCCGGTTCAGTTCAACTATGGTGTGCAGCAGCCAACGTATTCAAATACAGTAGAACCAGCGCAAAGCACTTTGAACCAAGCATCCGTTCACCCATCCGCCCCTTATCAACAATCAATTACTCCCGGGCCCAGTGTACAACAAACACATGCGCAACAACCGAACACGGGACCACATGGTACACCGGTGCCGACTGTGATCCCCCAATCACCCCCACCTCCATATGCGGCTCAGGACACCAGCTTTGGAGCTGGATCGCAACAATCTGGACCAGGAAATCCCACGATGTATCAACCATCTCCAACCGGTCCTTATCCTCCTCAGCCTCACTATTCTACCCAACCGACCTACGCTCCGGCTACTAGTCCTCCCTTGCCGAATCACTCAGGAAACAGCCTACAGCCCCCAGCTCTCCCTCCCAGGCCATCCTCATCGCAAGGCTTCGCTCCCACATCAGGTTTCGGTGCAGGCCCTACTGGTTACAACCCTGCCAGCTATCCCCGTCCACCACAAACATATTTCGCACCTCCTCCTGCACTGCCACCACGACCTGGCCTTGGTAAGCTAGCTGGTGGCGGTGGAAAGTTATTTGGCAGCAGCTCTGCAGACAAATGGTTAAAGAAGACGGGCCAGGTATTGGAAAGCACGTTGGCACCATATCTTCAAGGACAATCGGCATCCTATCGACCGGGCTCTAATGGTTTGCAAGGACAACAGGGACAACCAATGCAGCAGGCACCAGGCCAGTATCCTCCCCAAGGCCACCATTTCCATGTACCTCACTTGGCTCCTCAGTACAGAGGTGCTTCAGAATCGGCACATCCACCGCAGGGACCCGGTGCACCAGGATACTAGTTAGATGATTTTGTCCATATAGCTCCCTTGAAATTTAGTATACTTTTGTGCCATTTGTAGTCATGGGCCAACGAATTCCATATGCAACCATGTACTTACAATTAGGCCTTAGCTCCTAAGCTCACCTGAGACATTTGTCTCCTTCATTATAAACACTGAGCACCTCGTCGACAACACGGTTTGACTCTACAGACATAGAATTATGGCTCTACCAAAGCTAGTCAATTGTGATACGAGGAATAACATATCATACCGGAAATTTATTAACAGAAGGCTTAGAGCCATATTTCTTTTGTCTTCCATTGACTTATTGGGCGAAGTCCAAGTTGTGTACCACTTTCAACAGGGTTTGAAATATCAATTACTAGGTACCTACCTAGCGCTTAGGTACTTAACTTTTATTACTTAACGAAGGAGAAGTATAATCATTCTAAGAAATACAAGTCTATCCGCTAAATAATTGCTCAGTAGATAACCCTATCGATAAGAAGAATTAAGTTATGTTGGGTGACATCATCACGAATTGACAACAGGCATTGCGTCATGAGACCAGATCTGGCTGACCCTTCGCTGTTGAACTCAATCATCAAGTATGGGTTCTGATGATGGTAATAAAGAAATCCACACGATCGTCTCCTGTGGTTACCACAAGCTCTGTTATATTGAATTGCCAACTGATGCCAAGAGCATTCACACTCACGCTCGCATCGACTTTTTTGGTACAGTGATAAAAGTAAGTTCATGCGTCGAACCTTAGTAGGTACTAGATATACCTAGGACCCTCGATATAACAACGAGCTGCAAATTGTGACCTAGGTACCTTACCTTACGTTAAAAAAGAACCTTGCTGCCGCCTACACGGTTTAGAAAAGTGCATTGGTATTATCTTGATCAGATGGTGTGAGTCTCAACTACTTCTGCGGATGATGATGAAGTGTTTATTAGTAATGGACTAATGGCTGAGGAGCTGGAGAGCGGAACGATTGGGCGGCTGCATTAACCAAACCTGATTCATCTGCCGTTAAAATCTTTATCTGGCGGCGTCTGGCTTCCCTGTGCCTGCCACTGAACGTCGGTCGTGCAAACTCAAATTCTGAATGGAGACGCATTCAATCTTGGGAATTCAAACGTGCATGCCATAAAGAAGCTCGTATAGAGGCCGCGGTTAAAAGTTTTATCTCGACCCCTGGCCACGCTAAAAGGGGCTAAAAATCACTAGTGCTATTAAAAGTAAATCAGTACCTTTAAAAAAGCTATTTTTATACCTAATTACTCTTACTTTTCTTATACTTATTTCCTTTTTCTAGCTTAATAATTTTTTCTATATAATAAAGTATATATTTAATCTAAGCCTTAATCTTAGCCTATAATAATACTAATTAAGCTACTTTTTACTTATAAATAGCTTTACTTTTACTTTTTACTATACCTTTTTTTATTATTTCCCTCTTTAAATATGCCTAGGCTAGCTTAATTATATTTAAATTAAGGCTATTTTTATACTAAAGAAGTTACTATATATTAGTAAGGTTAAAAACTTACTACTATATATAATAGTTATATAATAGTACCTTATCTTTCTAAATAACTATACTAAGTCTTTTTTCTTTATATACCTATATAAAAGAAAGTAATTTAAAAATAAAAATCTTTTACTAATATTACTACTAGTTAATACTTTCCTTTTTTTCTTTTTTATAAGCTTTTTATTCTTTTTATTTTATTTCTATTTAGGCTTTTTACTTAGTAAATTTCTTAAACTTACTTTTCTTATTTTTATTATAAGCTTCTATTTTGCCTTCTTTACTAGCTTAAGCTTATAGTTAAGCTCCTTAAAGATAAGTATAAAATCTACCTTTTCTTTTTTAGTCTTTAAAACTTAGTAATAATAAAGACCTTTTTTATTATAAGAAAAGTAGCCTTAAAATATAAACTTTATTACTCCTTTTTATTACTTTTAAATATAGCTATAAAGAAATTACTTACTTAATCTTTACTATATATAATAGCTTCCTTACTAATATAAGAGAATTATAGCTATTTTATTTAACTAAATTACTAACTTTTAGTCCTTTAAGGTCTAGTTATAGTAAGTAATATACTAAGTAAAATAATTAGCTTTTATTAACTTTATTAAGCTTAGTTTTTTTATTAATTTATTAGCTTTATTTTTTAAAATCCTAAAAAAATAAATATTTAATAGATAGTTAATATAAAGATTTCTATTTCTGCCTTACTAAGCTTACTAATAATATTAATATAGGTTTTTTCTTTTTTATAGTAA